GAGTCCCAGGACTCTGAGGGGCATCACGATGTTAGCATGATTTCCTGTCTTGCGGGCCAGATGCTCCTCGCTGCGGCTACAGTCGCAGGCGAGGAGTTCCGGAGCCCGCAGCAGGAATGTTGCCTTCGGTGATTCTAATTTCATCTCCCTACTTATCCCAACACAGTGTTTCAAACTGAATTGGCTCCAGGAGGCTCTTATTACCCCTGGGAACTTTGTGAGCCTGGGAAAGGCAGAGCCAAGCAACTGTGCGGGGTGGAGCAGTGGGCAGACAGCAGCCTTTTCTTTCACCGGGCCTCAGGCCTGCATGTCTGCCGCCGCCACATAGGACCGTAGAGACACGTGATTACGCCTGAGAGTATCCCGTTGCTAGGGGCGTTGCCAAGGAGGGGCCACGAGGAGCGGCTCACTTCCGGGAGGAGGGCCACTGGTAACCCGGAAGCGGTTATCTGTGCGGCGCTGTTTAAAGATGGCGGCGGAGGAACCTCAGCAGCAGAAGCAGGAGCCGCTGGGCAGCGACTCCGAAGGTACTGAGCTGGGGAGTGATGTCTTGCCCGGGCTGGAGGGGCTGATGCCGGGCCGGGCGTCCTCGAGGAGGTTGGGAAGACGGGGCCGCCGCCAGCCGGGGGAAAGCGGGCAGACGGCCCCTTCCTCCGCCTCCGTTGCCCTCCCCTCCCCCTCACAATGGAAGGAGCCGCCGCCCCGCCCCCGCCCAGCCCTTCAGCGCCGGGGCCCGGGGGCCTAGCCCGTTCCCCGGGTCCGAGTAGGAGGGCTGAGGCTTAGGCCAGGCCTAGCGGCTGCGGTCCCTAGAGGCAGCTCGCGCCCGGAGGGCGTCGAGTTCCGCCGGGGCGAGCCGGGCTACGGCGCACAAAGGACCAGCGGGCCGTTCGGATGCCACGGGCCGTTCGGGCTTTTGAGGGTCTTGGGTGTTCGGCTCTGAGGCCTGCGGTCTGCCTTTTCTGCCTGGGTTCTGTTTTCTCCGACCTCGAGGAGGTGGACCTTTCCAAAATGGCCCCGATTGTGCCGGCAGCGTTTTGCATCTCCCACCCTCTCCTCTTTCCACCTACGAGTTGGGCCCTGGGGACTGAGTAGGAGGTCACTTTGGTGGAAGGTACAGCCGTGTTGCAGGGCTGTGTACAGCATGAGTCGAGGGCCAGCCGAGAATCCTGGGTGGTCGGCCCCAAAAAGAGCCTTCCAAGTCATTCCCACCACACACACACTGTTACACACTTAACCACCCACTCGAGAGACTGAGGTCTGGGAAACCCGGGCCCCTAGGAAGAGATGTGGTCCTGATCACCTAAGTTAGAGAGCCAGGACTAGAATTCAGGTCTCCTGGCTCCTCACCAATGCCTGGTGCTTGATGATTGTGGAGCACTTAATGGTGCACCTTTAGTCCCCCCTACTTCTCCTGACATTTCAGGGAGGGAAGGAAGGTGGTGAGCTGAGCCCCGTTTTACAGGTGAGGGACTGGGCTATGCTGTGAGGGAGCAGAGGAGAGGCTTTGCGATGAGGAGTTCAGACTTTGCGATTGGACACATCTGAGTTCAGCCAGCACACAGCTTTGTACTAGTTGTGACCTTGGGCAGATTTCCTCACCTTTACATCTGTTTAATTGTCTGTAAAGTGGGCATCATTAACAATACCAGGACTGCGGGAGGATGAAGGGTGTGACTGTAAAGTGCAGGCTCACAGGAAGCTCTCGTCTAGCCCAGGACTCTGCCTCCTCGTCTTGCTTTCCCCAAGAGACCCGCCTGGCCTCAGAGCAGTCCCAGGCTGCTGGGAAGCTATGCTAGAAAGAAGGGAGGGAGGAGGTGTCAGAGCTGGAAGAGCGAATCTTGGGGGTGATGAGTTCTTCCATCTCCTTTTAAAGATGAGGAAACAGGAGGGGATGTGACTTAGTCAAGATTACACAGAGTCGGGGTGGAGCCAGGTGTAAAATGCATGGTTCCAGACTCCAAGTCCACCTTCCTGGAGTGGCAGTGGCTGGGACCCATGTAATCCTCGGCTTTTCCTTTTTCCTCCAGGTGTTAACTGTCTGGCCTATGATGAAGCCATCATGGCTCAACAGGACCGCATTCAGCAAGAGGTGAGGGGCTGATGAGGGTGTGGGAGGCAGTGGCCAGGGGCCCCACTGTGGGATGCATAGGCTGGGCCTGAAGAAGCCCCTTAGCTATCTCCACTTTGGAAGCCTCCCTTCTTCCCAGTTATGCTAGGTGCTGGGTGCCTTTATAGAGGTCACTGTGCTACTGGGTGCCCTTCATTTAGGTGCCCTGGCTATTAGATGTGGGTCACCAGGTCTGTCTGCCTGAACGTGATGGCCGTCCTGCCCTCCGCAGATTGCTGTGCAGAACCCTCTGGTCTCAGAGCGGCTGGAACTCTCGGTCCTGTACAAGGAGTATGCTGAGGATGACAACATCTATCAACAGAAGATCAAGGTGGGGGCCTGGCCAGAGGGGCAGGAAGAGTCCTGGGGTGGGGGCAGGAGCGTGGCTGCTTCAGATCTGCCCTTTACTGTGTCTGGCCTCGGAGGGTAGCGTGATGGGGGAGACCTCTGGTTGCTGGTTTGAAAATGTGCCGGCTCTGGAATCAAAAAGACCTCTATTCAGATTTTGACTCTGCCACTTAGCAGCTGTATCCTTGGCAAGTCCTTCAGTTTCTCTGTAAATTAAACCCATTGTTGTCCAACTCATAGCGACCATATAGGACAGAGTAGAACTGCCCCGTAGGGTTTCCAAGGAGTGACTGGTGGATTCGAACGGCCAGCCTTTTGGTTAGCAGCTGAATGCTTAACCACTGGTGTTACCAGGCCTCCCTCTGTAAAATAGACTTAATGAAAGCACCAGGGGGCAGTGGTGGTTCAGTGGTAAGATGCTTGCCTTCCATGTGGGAGACCTGGGTTTGATTCCTGGCCAGTGCTCCTCATGTGCAGCCACCACCCATCTGTCATTGGAGGCTTGTGTGTTGCTGAGATGCTGAACAGGTTTCAGCAGACCTTCCAGACTAAGGTGGGCTAGAAGGAAGGCCTGGTGATCTACTTCTGAAAATCAGCCATTGAAAACCCCATGGATCACAATGGTACCATCCACGGCTGATCATGGGGATAGCCCAGGACACAACAGTGTTTAGTTCCATCGTTCCGTGGGGTCACCATGAGTCAGGGGTGATTGATGGCAGCTAATGACAACAGCTTATAGCATAGGGTGGTTGTGAGGTAAAGGGAGGTGCCTGTGTGGGGCCTGGTTCAGGCTGGCAGGTAGCCAGTGGTCACGCATGCTCGTGTGGGGCTGACCAGGCTGGGGTTGCAGCAGAGGCGAGTCCCATAGCCTGCCTCCTGGATGCTTATGGAAAGGCAGGCAGCTGTTGGGAAAAGGGGCCTCCAGACCTTTGTGCACAAGGCATGCTGCATCACTTACAGAATGAGGTAAGTCACTTAACCTCTCAGTGTAAACAGTAGGTAACAGGCACAGAGTGGGGGCTAGTAAACGTCACTCCACCCCCCCAACCCAAAAATCAAACCCATTGCCATCGAGTTGATTCCGACTCATAGTGACCCTATAGGACAGAGTAGAACTGCCCGCTAGGGTTCCCAAGGAGTGCCTGGTGGATTCAGACTGCCAACCTTTTGGTTAGCAGCCAGACTCTTAACTACTATGCCACCAGGGTTTCTACACCCCCCCAAAATCAGAGGAGCCTAGAACATTCTACTTGGAAAGAGGGGCCTTCATGGTTATCCATTTCAGGGGGCAGGCAGGTAACCCAGGAGATTGAAGATGGCCAGGACGTCAGGTGGTAAATGACGAAGGCACCACGGCCTCAGTATTAGCCATTGAGTAGGGAGTGGAGGCCCCTGGGACAAATGGGAGTGGCCACAGCTGCCACTCCATTGTTGCCAGATGTGTTTTTCCAAGAGAAGCCAGAAATGATGTGAAGTCTCTCGGCTTCTAACGTCGTAGTTGTTGTGGGTTGCCGTTGTTGGTTCTGACTCATGGCAACCCCGTGTATAACAACATAACGTTGCCCAGTCCTGCGCCATCTTTATGATTGTTATGTTTGAGTCCCATCGTTGGGGCTATTGTGTCAGTCCATCTCATGGAGGGTTCCCCTCGTTTTTGAAGACTTCCTTTGGTTTCTAATAGTTGACAGCTAATTCATATTTAAAATGGCGTATGGGCCAACAACACATCTCAGGCTGGATCCAGCTGTGCACGGCCTTTGGTCTGCTAGGACCCCTTGGCTCAGAGTGTTTGTGACTTACCCAAGAGGCCTGCAGAGAGATGAAGGCACCGACTCTGGAGCCTGATGGCCCTGGGTTTGAGTCCTGGCTTCACCACTCCCAACTGTGTGATCCTGGGCACTGGACTTCTTAGAGCCTCTGCTGTTTTCTTGTCTCTGGGTGGACATGCCTTGTGCCTCACAGGGCTGGTGTGAGAACTAAAATAATGGTGGTCGGGTGCTGAGCTCAATGCCTGGAATGCAGCGGCGCTTAGTCAGTGGTGGCTTCCTCCCTCCTCCACATGGTAGGTTAGTGGGATGAGGTCCCCATTTTGAGACCTATCTGTTAACACTAGGCCACCCTGATAAAATTGGACAGGATGGGCCACTCAGGTTTTTCCCATCGATTCATTCAGCGGATGTGTGAGTAGCCCACTGTATGCCATCTGTGTAAGAAGCCCACCTCAGGGTCCAGCACCCCCACCCTGTGTGCAGGGCCTGAGCCACCCTTTCCCCTTGGGAAGAGAGAGAGCCTGACCTTGTCTGCAGAGCCCACGCAAAGGTGGGCACAGACTTTCCTCATCTGTAAAGTAGCCTCCTGTGAGGACTAAACAGGGTAATGGATATTAGCCCTTAGCACAGTGCTTGGCACAGAGAAAGTGCTCAGAATGATCACAGCAGCAACCCACCACCTACCTGTCAGTGTGTCACACCGTGGTGGCTTGAGTGTTGCCATGATGCTGGAAGCTACGCCACTGGTGTTTCAGATACAAGCAGGGTCACCCATGGTGGACAGGTTTCGGCAGAGCTTCCAGACTAAGACAAACTAGGAAGAAGGGTGTGGTGATCTACTTCCGAAAATTAGCCAATGAAAATCTTATGGATTACAACAGAGTATTGTTGGATATAAAAAAAACCAATTGCCGTTGAGTCCGTTCTGACTGATGGCGACCCCACGTGTGTCAGAGGAGAACTTTGCTCCATGGTGTTTTCAGTGGCTTATATTTTGGAAGTAGATTGGCAGGCCTTTCCTTCCAGGTGCCTCTGAGTAAACTGGAACCTCCAACCTTTTGGTTAGCAGCCAAGCACCTTTACTGTTTGTGCCACCCAGGGACTTCGTTGTCCAGTACAGTGCTGGAAAATGAGCCCAAACATACCATCGATCATGCAGATGGCCCAGAACCAGGCAGCTTTTCATTGTCTTCTGTTACACCCACTGTCAGGCAGCTGACAACAACAACATAGTAGCGAAGTGATTTGGGCTCTTTGTAGTAACTACATGCTGTTTGCTTAACATTTATTGAGCACATACTGTGGTCCACGCGTGGTTTTAGGTACTGGAGATGGAGTGATGTCTCAAACTAAGAAATTCCCCTGCTTATGAGCTGACAGCTAGCACGGGGGGACCGCAATACATAGTGTGTCGGAAGGTGGCAAGTGCTGTAGAGAAGAAAGGAGATAGGGAGTGTGGGGGCATTTGCCATTTTAAGTAGGGTGGTCTTGGAGCCTCACTGAGAAGGTAGTATCTGAGTTATGTGTGGGCCTTTCCGTCTGAGAGCAGAGCAGGCAGGGGCCCAAGGCAGCTTGAGGAGCGGCAGGGAGGCTGGTGTGGCTGGAGCCGAGGGGTGGGAGGTGAGAGTCAGTGGGGGGCTCTGAGTGACGGGGAGCCATTTAACAGGTCACTCTGTTGAGAATTGACTGCAGGGGGCGAGGTGGGCACAGGGAGACCTGTCAGGAGGCTTTTGCAAGAAAACAGGAAGTGATAGTGATGGGAGTAGGGTGGTAGAGTTACGGAGTGAGAAGTAGTTGGATCCTAGATATTGAAGGTAGAGCCAGAAGGATTTGCTGTGGGTTGGATGTGGGTGTGAGGGAGAAGTCAGAAATGACTGCAACAGTTGTGGCTTGGACAGCTGAATGGCCCGAGTTGTTCATGGAGGGAAAACCTTTGTGAGCAGCAGGGTTCCTGGGGAGGTTGAGATGCCTACTGGGCAGCTCCCAGGGGGTGTGGAGGAGGCAGTTGGATGTGTGAGTCAGAACTGAGGTTAAGGGCTGAGATAGGGCAGAGATTTACATTTGGGGTATTTAAATCCCCACGACCAGATGACATGGAGAGTGAGCATAGTCTAAAAGCGGAAGGCATCCCAGCCTTGAGCAGGGTCGTGCCGCCCGCATGGTGGTGTCGCGCACGTGATAGGACTCGGGTGTTGTCATTACCATCTTCTGGCAGATGGCAGTAAGGTATCTCCAGGAAGGGTGCCGGTTGGTTTGGTGTTTGACTTCCAGAGATTAAGGCAGATGAGGGGAATCAGCTGGTGAGGTAGGAGGAAGACAAGCAGAGGTGGGGACTACGTGGATGCCATCACCACAGTCACCAGCTCCGGGAGTCGGGAGCCAAGGATGGCATGTGGCCGCCTGGAGCTCAGTAGCCCCCACCTGTATGTGACCTTTGGGTTCTCCTTGGACAGCCCTGGTTCTGGCCCGGGTGTTAATGGGTTGTGGGGGTGGGGCTGCCTCTCTGCAGGACCTCCACAAAAAGTACTCGTACATCCGGAAGACCAGGCCTGATGGGAACTGCTTCTATCGAGCTTTTGGATTCTCCCACTTGGAGGCGCTGCTGGATGACAGCAAGGAATTGCAGCGGTGAGGCGGGTGGGCACCTGGACACCGAAGGAGGTGGGTGAGGGTTTCTGGAAGGGCTCATGAGGCTCCCTCCTCCCTCTTGATGAATAGGAGGTACGGTTCTACCTTAGGTCAGATGGATGGGCTGGGTTCCCGCTTGTGGCGTCTGTTCTGAGCTGGGATAGGGCCCAGCCTGGTCTGAGGCCAGACAGTGCTAGCTGTGTCCTTCGCCTTGGGCTGGCCTCTCTGGGCCCCTGCACTGTTGGCCAAGGAGTCCATGCTGGCCTCCGTCTCCTTCCCATCCACAGGTTCAAGGCTGTGTCTGCCAAGAGCAAAGAGGACCTGGTGTCCCAGGGCTTCACTGAGTTCACAATTGAGGATTTCCACAACACGGTGAGCCCGCCGCCTTGGTCCTGGGCTCAGCCAGGGCACAGGGAGGCATGCGTGGCTGTGTTGGGGTTGCCCCATCTTCTCCTCCCTCATCTTGCCTTCTCTTCCCTGTGGGTGGCAGTTCATGGACCTGATCGAGCAGGTAGAAAAGCAGACCTCAGTCGCCGACCTGCTGGCCTCCTTCAACGACCAGAGCACCTCAGACTACCTGGTGGTCTACCTGCGGCTGCTCACCTCAGGCTATCTGCAGCGCGAGAGCAAGTTCTTCGAGCACTTCATCGAAGGGGGGCGGACTGTCAAGGAGTTCTGCCAGCAGGTGCTGCCCCTCCCTTCTCAGACTTGGGACCGCTCCTTTTTCTCTGGCCTCAGGGTGGGGAGCACCAGGGCTAGGGAGTGCAGAGGGCTCGGTGGGGGCCTGGGGAGGGCTGCTGAGACCTGGGCCCTGACCTGCATCCGTGCCGCAGGAGGTGGAGCCCATGTGCAAGGAGAGCGACCACATCCACATCATCGCGCTGGCCCAGGCCCTCAGCGTCTCCATCCAGGTGGAGTACATGGACCGCGGTGAGGGCGGCACCACCAACCCGCACGTCTTTCCCGAGGGCTCAGAGCCTAAGGTCTATCTGCTCTACCGGCCTGGACACTACGACATCCTCTACAAGTAGGGCCGCTGCCCTCCCTGCTGCCAGGCGCCAGACATGTACAGAGGTTTTTTTTGTGGTTGTAAATGGTCATATTTCACTCCCCCCTTTTTCTGTCACACCACCTTCCACGTTTTATTAAAGGGGATGCTGGTGGTGAGCTGCGTGTGTGCGTGTCCCTGCTCTACCCGCCCGCCTGCCTGGCTGCTGTTGTGTCTGGCTGCCCCCCTTCCCCCCAGGTGGGTCCCTCCTTGCGTTCCACCCCAAGCCTCCCCACCAGGAGCAGTTTTGAGGGGGCCAGGCCTCTGGGGGACCTCTCCTGGTTACCTGGGGCTCTGCTCTTAAGGCTTTCCCCCTTTCCTCCTTAGCTGAGCTCCAGCCCAGGGACTTCCGTGGGAATCTTGGAAGCTCCTTGGGAACTTGCCCAGGGACCCAGGACTCCAGAGGTTTCCAGTTGCTCCCACATAGGCCCCACCTCCGCTCTGCTATCCTGGTCCCAGACCCTCGCTTCCTGCCCCTCACTTGGGGTCTGCATGGTTGGGGAGCCCTCGGTGGAGGGGGCCTCCATGATGGTGGGGCTTGGCTCAGGGCAGGCAGAGGAGCTGGGGACCCCACAGTGCACCCCAAGTGGTGCCAGCCCTAGTGGGGGAGGGGTAGCCCCCAGGTCTGGGCAGGGCTTGCCAGCGCTCAGTTCCTTCCGTCCCCCCAGCAGCTAAGCGCCTGCCTGTGCCTGCTTTGCACCCCCTGCTTGGGCCACTGTCTCTCTGCCTTGCCTCCCTTTCACCTCCACCTCTTCTCTCCCCACCCCAGCACATGCGGGGTCTCGGCCCCCAGGCTGTGAGCTCCTTGGGGGCAGGTCCTCAATAAATGTGAAGTGCCGCTGCCTGCCTCTGCTGTCTGGCCCGAGCCTCCACCTGCCTGGCTCACCAGGAGGTCTTGCCAGCCCCTTTAAGCCAAAGCTCCCGGCCAAGGGCTCCAACCCACACCTGGGGGACTGCCCCTCCCCTCAGCCAGTCAACGCTCAGTGGGAGCTGCAACAAGGCGATCTTTATTAGGGGGCTGAGGGCCAGAATGGGGTGGCTGGGCCCTGCTGCAGGCTTCGGCGACTTCTCCTCAGAGCTGGGAGCGGAGTGCTGCAGGCCCTGGTGGGTCTGAGGGCAGAGCGGAGAGGTCAGCGGGAGCAGCGAGCTGCCCCAATCGCCCAGGCAGCATCCCTGGCTTCCCAGCCTCTGGTGCGTGGGGGTGAGCGCGGGCGGGGAGCGGGCGTGTTAGTGGGCGGGCGTTAGTGGGCAGCCGCACGGGCCAGGCCCTGCTTACCGTCCCGGCAGGGTGGGCATCGGGTGCCGTCAGGCTGGAAGGCAGAGGACAGTGAGGACCCCGGGCCCGGGGGTGGGGTGGGGGCGGGGAGGGGCTGGCTGGGGTGGGGGATGGCGAGCGCCGTGGGCGGGGCCTCGGGACGTACCCACGGGGAAGTAGTACGGGAGCCGGTGCCGGTAGATGTCCTCGTCCTTCTCCAGGAACACGCAGATGACCAACCGATCCACCTACGCGAGGAGCGGCTCAGCCTGGCGGAGGCCTCCCCGGGCTCCTCGGCCGACCACTGTCCCCGCCCTTCGGTTGTACTCTGGCCTGGCCCTCCGCTCCCGCTGCACCCTTCACAGGAGCGGGGCTCCTGGGTGTGCGCCCCACCCCCCGAGCGATGACTGGCGGGCCAGGCAGCGGAGTCCGGATGCGCCCCATCGCCCCGCCCTGCCCGCGACCGGGCCCAGACCCCACCTTGTCCTTGTGCTGCTCCAGCCACTCGCGCAGCGCGGTCAGCACCACCTCGGCTGCCGCCTCATTGGGGTAGCCTGGGGGCGGGGCGGGAGTGAGCGGGGCTCTAACCCGCCGCCGCCGCGCCGGGACCTCCCTCCTCCCCGTCCCGCCCCCTTTCCGCGTCAGGCCCGCCCAGCGCCCCGCCCTCCCCCCCGCGCCCCGCCCTGCGCCGGGTCCGCCCCCTGCCCCCTCTGGCGCTTTCCCTCCTCCCCTACCCACTCACCGAACACGCCGGTGGAGATGCAAGGGAACGCCTAGGTGGGGGCAGATGGGATGCGGGGCACCGTGAGTCCCGAGCGCTCCCGCCCGCCTCCTCCCGCGGGCCGCTTCCCTGCGCTCCGGGCCGACCCCGCCCTCCGCCCCGCGCCCCTTACCACCGAGCGGAGCCGGTGCTCCAGCACCAAGTCGAGACTGTTCAGGTAGCAGCTGCGGAGCTCGCCGGCCTGGCTGGCGCTGGGCTCGCCGTGGGTGATAGGCCCCACCGTGTGGATGACGTCTGCGGGGGACGACTGGGTCAGGCCGGCCTGGGTCCCCACGCGGTCGCTGCCGGCCTGGGCCCTGGAAGGGGTAGAAAAGAAGCCTCCCCCCAAGTTCTGATACTCCCCAGGTTAGGACCCCACTGAGTGTAGACACACGGGTGTGCCCTCGGCCTGAATCCCCTCTTGACACTGACGCGCGCGCCCACCCCGCGATGGCCAAGGGCGGGTCTGCGTTGCACACCCTCCCTCCCCAGTAGGGATCCGGATGGGACACAGGGCGCGAGTGGGTGCGCAAAGGCGCTACCAGCTTAGCTCTGACTCGTCCTCCAGGTCCTCACCCCTACCCAGCCTCCACCCACTCCCCCTGTTCATCTGCATGCTGGGTGTGCGAGGAGGGGCCAGGTTCTGCTACTTAAGAGTTAAGATGTGCCCCTGAGGAGGCCTCCAGCAGTTCTGTGGGCCCTGTACCCCTAGCCCCCCAATTATACAAGGCGCCCCATCGTGCCTTGACGGGCTAGGCCCCCGGGTGCTAAGCGGCAAGGCACCCCATCTGTGCCCCATTTGGTGCGAGGTGTCGGAGACTCACACTTGGCCGGCAGCCGGTAGCCGCCAGTGATCTTGGCCTTGCCGGTTTCGCAGTTCTGCAGGGTGCGGCATTCGTCAGTGAGCAGGGGCCCGGCGGCCCGGTGGATACAGCCGTCCACTGCGGGGGCGGGAAGAGTGAGCTGTGGGCTTCCCGCACCCTGAGGCGCGAGGCGCTACTGACCCCATTTTACAGAGAAGGCTGAGGCCCACGGATTGAAGACTCCCAATCCCGATAATGCCCCCTAGGCCATACTAGGCCTCACTGAACATCGCCCCCTTGCTCCCGCGGCTTCCAGCCTCTCCCACCCCCCTCACCCTCCAACCCCGCACTCTCCGTTTGTTTTACAACTGAGGAAACCGAGGCGCAGAGGAACCGCACCCGGTCCTGGCGAGTAGTGGCGCAGGCGACCGACAGGGGGCGCGCCTGGCCCACCTGCTCCTTCCCGGTCGCGCGGCGGGGGCCGGGGCGCGGCTAGGGCCTCCGCGGGAACCGTAACCCGAGCCCGGCGAGGGGGACGCTCGCCCCAGGGCTCTGCCCACGACCAGCCGCTGTACCCGCCCAAGCCTCTGCGTCCGGCCCGAGGCGCTCGGGCGCGCGGACCGGCACCACGCTCACTGATCCCAGGGCCGACGTCCACACGCACCGCCCGGCCTCAGCAAAAGTTCGGACCCACTTTCCGGATGAGGAAACCGAAGCCACCTGGTTACAAGTGGCAGATCGGGGGCTTGCGCCTGGGTCCTGCGGCCGCGTCGCTGCACCACGCGGGCAAGGGACCGGGCCACGGGGTCCCCGCCTGCGCAGGTGTCTCTACTCGTTAACAAGCAGCCTCGTTAGCGCAGCCGGCTTAATTGGGCCCAGGCCTGGGCTTGTTTATTCGAGGGCGGCACCCGGGCCTTGCGAGCGACTCTGGGGACCCAGGCCCAGAAAAACAAGTCGGGCGCGGCGAGAGGCACAGAGGACCCCAGCTTCTCGCCCCGCCCCCGGCGCTGGGGCCTCAACCCAGGCTGGAGAGGCTGCTCTGCCTCAGACAGACCCGCGTTTGTCTGGGACTTGGGCGAATCCCCTCCCCTCTCTGAGTGGCAGTGATCCCTCAGAGGAGGAGCTGGCATCCTGACCCGGAGAGCATAACCCACCGGAGCAGCTCCCCAGCTCCTAACCACCCCAGGCTGCGCTTGGAGCTCCTTGGGGACCAGCTGCCCCGAGCTCACAAGGCTGGGCAGCAGGAAAGGGTGGCATTTCCCCATTTTACAGATGCGAAAACCACGCCCTTTTCTCTTTCATCACCCCTTCCCAGTGTCTTGGCACAGGCCCAGGACACCAGTTGGACCACTCCCCTCTTTCTTCTGCTGTTTTCTCTGTGGCTTGTGGGTCCAGTTAAACCTAATTTTGCAACTTAGCTCAGAGCTGGTACCAGGGGGTTTCATAAAACATCTCGGGGTGGGGATGGGGGGCTAGAGAGGTTGAGGGACCCTGGTGAGGGCCTCTGGGGCTGAGTCCCTCTCACTTCCTTCTCCTGCTGCAGTGGGTGGGGTGGAGGCAAAGGTGGGGGCCAGGAGGGCCTTGCTCTTTGGGTCCAGGTGACACAAAGTGCCATATGTATCTGTCTTGGATGGGATGGCAAGTGACCACCCAGCACTGTCAGCAATGGCAGGGGCTGTGGTGGTAGGCAGCCTGGGTTCAAATCCCAGCTCCACCGGTCACAGCTGTGTGATCCGGGGCCTGTCACTTAACCTTGCTGAGATTCAGTTGCCTCATCTATTAAATGGGATCATAGTAGTACCCACCTCATAAGGCTTAGGGTGCTTAAGCCAGTACCTGCATGAGTGAAGGTGATGTGAGTGTTGGCTGTCACGATGAGGGGACAGTTTGGGCACATGCAGATGAGATGTGTTTCCCGGCACAGTGTGAACAGGGTGATCCGGCATAGGGGAGAGCACAGGGATGTGTCTGAGACGGCCCCTTGGGGACCTCCTGGCTGGGCCCCAATGCTCTCAGCTACCTGGCAACGGGCTGCCTGTGGTCTCCTGGAGCTAACCGCCCTGCAGGTGACCTTGACTGGCTGTGTGGTCCGTGCGGAAGTGGAGCTCAGCAAGATCTGCGTTTCATGGACTTAATGTTTCCTGGAGAGGTGGACGGGCCTGCATCCAGGCCTTTGGGGCTGACCTGGGGGCATGGGGTGGGGGTTGGGATCAGTGCTAGCAGAGGTCTTAGGCTGGAGTCCCACCCACAGTGTCCAAAGAGGGCCAGGACCACGTGACTACTCTGCAGGCAAGGCCCAGGGGGCGGTTCCCCCAGTGCAGAGATGAGGTTCTGGGCACCACGCCTACCCTGTCCCCCCAACAAACCAAAGCCCAGACTGGCCCTGGCATTTAGGCTCAGCTGCCTGGCCCCCACCTGCCTGCCTGCCTGCCCCCTTCCCTGTCCACACACCAGCCTTGTGGTTTCCCCTGACCCCCACGTACCAGAGGACCTCCCTCCAGCCCCTGGCCTGCCCCAGACTTGCTGTCCTTAGCCACAGGCCCAAAGGGCCACCCCCTCGCCCCACACTGCTCGAGGCTCCCTTGGCTCTGCCTGGTTCTGACCAGCCCTGCCTGGTTCCGACCTTGGGCTAAGCTGAGCCCTGGAGACCTGGAGGAGGAAGCTTCCTGGGGCCCCTCCCAGGGAGCTGCCCCTCCTCCCCCCTCTCCACTTGACTCTGGGACAGCTGGAAAAGGCCCACAGCTGTGACCCTGGGGCCACCTGATGGGAAGGTGTCCAGAACTCATACCCGGCCGACCCTTGGTCCCCTCTCCGGCCCCTCAGGCACATCCAAACAAACCTCAAACCTTCAACTCAACTCCTACCCTACCCCCGAGGCAGCAGAGAAGACGAGGTCTTTCCTGGGGAAACAGAACATGTGGGTGGTGGGGCCTTCCTCTACCTGTGGCTCCTCAAGCATCTCTCCTCCCTCCGATCTGGCTTCTTAATACCAGCCACTGATGGCCATTTTATCCAGCTCTTGCTGCCTCGTCTTGTCCTCACAACTATTCTAGGAAATACTATTATTTTTCCTGCTTTATAGAGGAAGAAATAGGCACAGAGAGGTTGGGAAGCTTCCCCAAGGTCACACAACTGGAAGCCAGGAGGTTGGGCTCCCAGGCTCAGCCAAGCCACTTCCTCTAAGACCATAAAAGGGCGTACCTCTCTCTGAATCTCAAACCCCGAACCTCCCTCCCACCCCTGGCTGTCTGGCTCTTGTCTGTGCCTCCTCATCTAAACATCAGGAAGGAGTTGTCTATACCTGCTGTCTCCACACCTCGGCCTCTCCTCACTGCCAGGCCCTGCAGCCTAACTCCTGTCTCCCTCCCCCCATCAACACATCCCTCTCCCAGCAGAGGGACCTCTGTCTAGTCTTCTTTTAAGGCTCTTTTTCTTATCATCGTCTTTCCTGACTGTTCAGCTACTCCCACACGGATGACCACTCCTGCCATCCAGCTGGCCTCCCGCCTGGGAGACCTCCCTTCCTCTCCAGCTCTCTCTTCTCCCTCAGGCTGCTCCTCAGATGCTGGGGCTGCCTGGAGGCCCTGTCGGCCTTCACCTGAGGCCCTTAGAGCCCTCTCTCTACCACAGCCCTGGGCTCTGTTTCAGCTCCAGCCAGGGAATGTGGCCACGACAGGCCCTCCACCTCAGAACTCTGCCCTCTGCCCTGGTCCGGGCCCAGCGGCCCTGCTTGAAAGACCCTGACATGGCATGGTACCCTCTGCCCTCCTGCCAACAGCATGGACTGAGCAGACACACCCCCGGCCTCCACACCCTGCACTCAGCCTCAGCCCTCACAGAGGTCTGCAGGGTCTCCACTCACACCTGACCCCTTTCCCTTATCTCTGTCAGCCCTCAGCCTTTGATCGCCTCCCCATGGAAGCTCCCCCAGTAGGGTGAGGCCGGGCGGCCAGGGGCTGGAGGGGCCCTCCACAGAGCCTCAGAGGCGGAAGGCAGGCAGTCTCCTGTGGGGGCCATCTCCGCCGCTGAGGCGCTTAGGATGTGTTGGCCGCTATTTAAGGTGCTGTAATATTCATGAAGGGAAGATTAGATATTTAAATTTATTTAGCAATAAATGCATCTCAGTGGGGGAGAATTCCTCATGCTAAACAAACAAGCAAGCAGGGGCTAATTAATTATTTACAGGAACACGGGAGGCCTGTGGCCTGGAGAATGAAGGGGGTAGCTGTGGCCCTGCCAAAGGGCAGGGTACCCTTATTGGCCTCGGGTGTGCTCCTTCCTGCTCTCCCCACCCCCCACCTCTCTCCACCCTCCAGTGGGGCTGGCCCCCTGCGTGACCCCTTCCGGGGTTTCTCTTCCCAGAAATCCTGGTCACAAGCTTGCTGGTTGCTTTGGGCAAGTCACTTAACTGCTGTGAGCCTCAGAGGGTGATTGAGAGGGCTGAGGTATTTTGTGGGTGGTCAGGGATGAGCGCTGGGCAAGAGGACATGGTCATGATCATCACCATCATCACCGTGATGGTTACGGTCTTCTCATCTCTGCTGTCACCCCCACCCCTCCCAAACTCCCTACATCCAGTTCCAGCTCCCCTCATCCCCCACCATTAGAAATGTGAGGAGACAGAAGTCCAGGGGGATTGAGTGACCTGTCCAAGGTCACACAGCCAGTTACAGAGGAGCAGACACCAAGACCTGTATCGCTAACCCCCATCCTACAGAAGTTAAGACAAAGGCTCAGAGAGGTGAAGCTACTTTCTCAGTCACACAGCCAGCTTGTCCTGGACAGCCTCACCCCTACCCTGGACTTTCCTGGGCTCCTGTGGACCCCCAGAGCACGGAAGTGAGGAGGAAGGGGCACAGGGCCAGGTCGTGGAGCTGGGCCGTGTGTTTCCTCCCCCTGCCATGTGAGCGCCACGTCTGTTCCCTTCCTGCCGTGCTCCTGGGCGTGTTTCATAGCCTCTTGGGCTCAACCTCCTGCCTCTGAAGTGAGCTCACTGGGGCTATGTGGGGCACAGCTCCCGGGGACAGAGCGGACCCAGCCTTGTGAGCCTCCCAGACCCAATTCTGCCCTGCCCCCTACCTGCTTCACCTTTCTGTGCCTCAGTTTCCCCATCCTCGTTTGTCATGGGCGTTCAGTGA